ACACACACACACAGTTTCTTACTTGCCCACCCCCTGAATCCCGTAGGAGCTTGAAACACTCACAAACACTCCACAGAACCGTTACCACAGCAACACTCCCACAGTACTTAACTCAGCCTAACTCTTGTACGACTCAGTATGAGGTTGATGGTGGTGGACAGAGACACCACCCCGACCGCCAGCTTCGACACTGTTTCCAGTATTTCCCCAAAGGAAGAGTTTTAGTTTTAGAGCAGTAAAACCCAACACATGCAGTGCTGCTACAGTAACTGTGTACTTCAAGCTTTCTTCATGGCAATCATCATTTCTTTAAACAGTTGATTAGTCTCACTTAAAGCTTTAAATTCCATTGTATTTTTCAGAGTTAGACTAAAGTAACAAAGTTAGCATCCCTTGTATTTTCATGAAACTAAACCCTGTCTTTATTGTCATATTCCTTCAACAGTCATTCACTGTATTTCATGACTATCCTTTTACGTAGTGATCTTACACTGAATAAAAATTGCCTTCACACAGACTACAGGATTTACAGGATTTATAGGATTCTAAGATAATGCTTTGAATTTTAGCTTAAATATATATCAGCATAACATAGATGTATTTACTGTTAATGTATTGCAGACATTAGCTTGTGCTGAGACTTCACATTTAAAAAAAAAAACAGGTGACAAACCTCAGGGTAGCTTTTATTGTGGAACCACTACCAAGCCAGGAGGAGGTGATAACAAGGTTAGTCTGAAAATATTGTGTAATACTCTGTTGGCACACCATTCTTTCTTAGAAAAGTGCAATGGAACAAGAAGAACCCTAATAATGTCGTCATCACTGTGGCGTAATTCAATCAAGGCAGGGGAGCTTAGTTGCCCTAAAGTGGGATCAATTTAGATGTGTAGCTTTCTTTTTATTTAACTAAACAGACAAGAATGATTTAGGATTTTCTCCCCATGTTTTTCCTTTGTGATTAAATTAGTCAAAGAATAATGTGGCTTGTGTCTTTAAATACACAACCCATGCACACACTGTAATGAAGTAATCCCTTGTTAGGTCAGTAGATGCCGCTACGGTACCATTATGGATCCACGATAAATTTGCTTACATATTCTCAAAGTTGTTCTTAGGGC